TGGGGGGTCGGGGAGGTGGGGCTGGGCGAGAAGAGAGAGAATGGCGGTGGTTGGGTGGGGGTTGTCGGGTGGGGCGTGGTGGGTGGAGATGGGAGGAGATGGTGGATTGAACTTGTAAGTTTTTTTATTTTTAAATTGAAAATTAAAAAATTTTAATTAATATTTTATTCAACCTCAGTAACAAGACAGTTCTAGCTTAAGTTGGTCTCGTTAGATTTAGGGGGTGTGACTGTAATAAATGAAACCTGTGGAGTCTGGCTGTAATTATGCCAAACTTCAGGGGATCTAAATGAAATTCTCCCTTAAGAAAAATAACATAGAAAACAATTATTCAAATATGGAATGAATTGAAAAACACAGTTAGTAGTAGTATGAGGAAACAAAATAAAACTCAAGGATCAAATAAAAGATAGAGAAAAGAAGCTCACAGTTAGTAGAACCAAACATCTTCTCTTACGATTCTGTATTCAAAATCAGGGCTAGACTTGTCGATCGATCCCAAGCTGAAACAGTAATAGAACACAAATTCATCACAAAATAACAAGGCAACGAGAATCTAATAATGCGAGAAATCGCTAAAACACGAGCCATTGCAGAAATCAGAAAACCAGAGGATCAATACAATACAGCAGAAATTAAACGCAATCGTAAACCTGATAAACAGACTAAAGCGATGGAGAAGACCGAACGTGGAAGTAAGGTTTCGAAGAAGGAACTGAGCGTCGAAAGTGATGAAATGGAAAGATAAAGGAAGAGAGGAAAGTGATGAAGTCGCGTAATGAAAAGATGGCTTGTCTTGCAACATTCCAATCTCGCGCGCCAATGTCATGTCAGAACTGAAAAAGCCAAAAACTACTTTCACTGGCCAAAAAAAGCAAAAAAAAGAAAAAGAAAAGGGAAATTGGGTAAAATGGAACACACGCCCAAACATTTAAAATCCTTTTATAATTATGGTTATTTGTTGGAATGCCCATGTGGTTTCAAATAGTCTCAGTTTGCCCTACGATGTTTTAAATGATTTAAATTCCTCATAAAATTTCATTATGTGACCAAGGTTGCCCTATTACGTGTGTTTTTAGATAAAAATCGTTAAATCAACGTGACAATGGTATTTTGATAAATTTAACTATTAAATAAATAAATAAATAAATAATGCATGAAATTATTTAAAATATTTAAAAATATATAAAATAAATTAGGAATAACTTTATTTGTTGAAACACCCCATGTGGTTTCTAAATAGTCTCAATTTGCCTTCTGATCTTCCATTTCGTGACCAAGGTTTCCTTTTTCGTTAGTTTTCAGATAAAAATCGTTAAATTTGATTTAGGGTTCCCCTTTCCATTTCGTGACAAATTTGATCAGATGCAACCAAACTCCTTTCAATTTTAACAATGGAACGCCACCATATATTAAGTTAACTGCCGATCATATACGTACAATCGAAATAGTTTGAATTTTTCAATGGAACACCACCAAAAATTTTTATCCAAGGGAGATGCCAAATATCAAACATTAAATTTAAATTTGATGGTTGATGTGGCAATTTGACAT